AGAAACCAGCACTGAAATAAAAGGTTACTTGACAAAAAGGCCTAATATTTGAACCTCTACATTCAGCAAGAAAGCTTAGGGTCTCTCACAACTTTAACAGAACTGTAACCTAAGGCTTCAGAGGGATTTCCTAGACATTTTACTCCTCCAAAACAGTGGATTCTTACCATAGAAGATTAGTTTGCAGCATGGGCATGTATAGGGCATTCTGGAGATTAAGCATTGTAAATGTAAACAGTTTTAGTGTTAAAAAAGCAGACACCCAATTCTCAGTATTATGTGAACAAAATTCTATAAACTATCCAAAACAGCAATATATAATCACCTGTATTGACTGTGCTCAAAAAACACATTGAATTGGTTCTAAAATATATGGAAATGGCTATGTGCAGCAAGGAATAATCAAGAAAAGCACCTGCTATCTAATCTTAAGTATTTCTCCTACAGTCTATATTTTGAATCATAAGGCTGGAAAATATCTAGACAGGGCATCTAGTCTACATAGATCGTTATCCCATTTTCAAAGATCTCTATTTAGATCTCTACTCTAGTTTGTTCTTATCTTAAATCTTAGCACCTACAGTCTAGGACTAATTTATCTTATCAATGGAAACAATGAATCACTACTTTCCTTTTACATACTTGGCAATCATTAAGCAACTAGTCTTCTTTAGTCTATCTTAACAAGATAACCAAAATTATTTTAACTTTTCCCCAAATTTTCATTTATTAATCCCTATACCTCTTTATACTGGGGCATCTCTTATCACTTTGAAAACATACTCCAACAGTTTAGTACTTTATTATGAGCTTCACAAATACCCAGGATTTAAATTATTTCATGAATTGTTTAAACATGGTTTTATTTATAAGTACCAATGTTATATCTTGAAATCAATTATTTAAAACAATGTTCTAGGTCAGGCATGCTGGCTCACACTTATAATCACAGCACTTTGGAAGGCCAAGGCAGGAGGACTGCTTGAGTTCAGGAGTTTGAGACTAGCTAGGGCAACATAGGGAGACCCTATCTCTACAAAAAATAAAAAAAGCCAACATTAGCCAGGTATGGTGGGTGCATGCCTGTAGTCCTAGCTACTTGTGAGAGTGATGCGGGAGGGTTGCTTGAGCCCAGGAGTTCGAGGATGCAGTAAGCCATGATCATACCACTGCACTTCAGCCTGAGTGACAGAGTGAGACCCTGTCTCAAACAAACAAAAACAAACAACAAAAAACCCCAAGAAAAATCCCAATGTTCTAGATACTGGGGTAAATAATCTCATATAGCTTACATTTTGGTGGGGAAAACAGATAATAAACCAGTAAACAAGTAAGATCTCAGACTGAGAGAAGGGTGAGTTATGAAAAAAAATAAAAGTGATATGGGTGGAGAGGACTTTTTTGACAGGTAGCACTTGATTTGAAACCTAAGAGGAAGGAGCAATCTTGTAAAGATGTGAACAGAATGTTCCAAGCAATTTTTGGCTAAAGAAGGTTTAATGAGTTATTCTGCTATATATTTACGTGCATTCCTTCTGAATTATATAACCTAGCACTGCTTCCTACTGAATCTTCTCGTTCTTATTTTAAAGACTAATTCTATCCTTTAAGTGCTTTTCAATGCCTCCTTAATTGGTGTTATTTCTCAAGTTTAAGAAGTATGTTTTCTAATTTAAACAAGCATTTTTCCTAATGTTAGCTAATAATATTTAGTTTAGGAGGTGTTTCTGCCAAATAACATTTAATAGTGGTTTAAAAAAAATACTTGAAAAAAATTTGTTTTACTGGTAAGACCTCAATAAGTTTTCTAGAAAATAATTTGGTGATCCTTTGTAGATAAAACAGGCCGAAAGGAAACTGATAAGAGTATGACCCATTCATACCAACCACAAGATGAACCATTGACAGGCTCCTCTAATCCCAGTGCAAGAACTCAATAGTAAGAGGCTGATAGGTCACGTATGTAGGATAAAGAAGCAAATCAATTGGTAAGGTTGGAGAAAAACCTTCCCCAGCACACTAGCTCTTTGAAATATGCTGCCACCACCTGGGCAATAGGCAATTTTGAAGTAAAGGGAGATATCAGTTATTATTAGTTAACAATTATAGTATCACAAAACATACTTTCATATTATGAAATCAGCATTTTTTTGTCAAGTCTTTGGACATTAAAAAAGAGCAAGGATTTTGGACAGATGTATTTAAAATCCTGCTCTACTTTTAATGTTTCTGGTTCCTTATCTGTAAAACGGGTATATGAATACAATCCTATGGGGTTGTTTAGTCTCAGGATAAGTGACAGTAGATGCAAAGCACTTTGTCCATATTAAGTACTTAATAAATAGCTTTTAAAAAATTATTATTCTTTAGTATGATCCTTCAAATATCTACCATTAAAATCTGATGGCTTTTAAAAATCACACAAATGTGCCCATTAAGACATATATTTGCATTGTGTTTCAATGGAAGGAAAAAAAATCTCACAAAATAAAACTTAGAGAAGCCAATTCCATCAAAGGCAAATATGTGAAGAGTTATTGCAGGGAAATAACCACATTTGCAGCTGAGAGAGCTCTCAAAATCTTTTAGCCAAGACTAACTTATTATTAAATTATATTAGCTTATAATAATATTATCTGAATCTTATCCAGGTTTTATTCATCACAATTTTGACACGGGTTAGAATGAAATGTAACTTTGTACCAATCATGGGAAAAAGACTTTTCAGTCAAAAAAATGACATAAGACTGCAAGGGCTTCCCTTTTCAAGAGGAAAAAAACCTTAGAATCTTATCAGGCTCCATTTACAAAATGTAATTGCAATAGAGTACGCTAGTGCTGATCAGGCTGGTGGTATAACATGCTACAGGAATTAATCTTAATAAAAAGGCTGACCCTACTTAATACGGTAAGGTTTGCTTAATTTGGTTAAAGTTAAATGAATAATAAAATCTTATTTCTTAAGAGTAAATAAAACAGACATTATTTCCTTGTTATTCTAAACTAGTATTCTGACAGACATTTGAGAGAGAATAAAAACCTAATTAAGGATAAGATCTTTTCAAATAAAGAACTATAACGAAACTGGCAGTGATTTTCTACTAAATATCTTACTATGCTATTTATGAAGCACAAGTCAGAAAAATGACGAAATCCAGTCCAATTTACAGATCTTAAAGCTGAAAGGGCACTAGAGAACTAGCATGCTTTGAGGAAACAGGCTCTGAATGATTCATCAGATACTTATCAGTACAAAAGCTGTGACTCTCAACACACAAGCTAAGACTCCTCCCTACAGCAAATAGTCCAAAGTATCTGACCGAATTTTGACACCACCCTTCCTTAAGGCAATGCAAATTGCAGTAAGGAACTCAGCTGTGGCAACTCCTATGCTATTCCTGGGCTTGCAGCCTGCCCTGTAACTATAAGCTAGATCAGCAAAACTAGATTGTAAAGACATAGTCTAGGCTTCCTCCTTATATGCCCGCCCCTGTGCTTTTAACCAGGGATGCAAGAGAGCAACTACTGGCAGGTAGTAATTGGGAAAACTATCTGTGATTAAAAAACAACACACACACATCGGCATCTGGAGTGAGGGATGTTAATAAATTCTGACCCCATTCTAGAGTCACAATTTGGGCCAATTTTAAAAAGTCAGTTAACTCTAGCAAGTAAAGTGCACAAAATCCAGTGACTGAGTCTGCTTTTTCTGCCTACAAGTACAGGCTAGGTTTGAGTAGCATAGGCTCTGAAACTACCATCCAGGTTTTAAAATAAAAATAAGAAAACAAGTGCCGGTAATACAACATACCAACATTAACATATGCCCAAGGAACAATATTTTAGATTGTCAGATTATCTGCCAAAAGCCTGTTCCCTGGTAAATAATAGTTATTGTTGTTATACCTAAACTCGTTATACATGTCGCAGCTTGCTTCTCAAAGAGAACATTCTATAGTCTTTCGAGAATTAAAAACCTGCTTTATTTGGCACACAACAGAGAAGAGGTCTTGCAACATTTGCCAGAGGTAGTCAAACAGAGTTTGACTAGTTCTGTGCAAGCAATCACAAAATTTGGTCACCAACCAAACCAGAGCTAATCTTTCAGTTCCTGTAAATTAGAAGACAACATTAACTCACCATTTCTGCTTGTTGACTTTTGCATCCCTTTATTTGAGTATTGAAAGAACAAGTACTTCTATGGGAACTCTATGCCCTGACAGTTTAATTATTTATCAAGTTTACTTTGGGCAAGTACTGATCATTCTTTTGTGAAATGAGTTAGGTTCTTAAGTTAAAAACAAACAACAACAAAAAATCCTTTTTCACACAGCATGGTTACATTTCTCCTTAGTAACAAGGTTCAGTGACTCCGTCAGGGCCCAGCTGCTTGTCACCTTTACGTGAGGATTTAACTATTGTCCAGCCAGAAGAGAGAGGCATGCGGTGGGATGGGAACCATGAAGAACTCGCAGGATCCTTCAAGGGTCGTTGGGCGACCCTCACCTTGACTTTGGGCGGTTTGTCAGGACCATCTCCTTTCTTGCCACCACTCTTTGGTGTTAGTCGACCTCACCCACCCAGGGCCAACTGTCCGGCTTCAGGAGGGAGGGGTGCTGCTTCCCGACCGACCCCGGGGATGAAGGCAGAAGACCCCAATAGTTTCGGACCTGCTCCTAGGAGCCTGAGGCCGCCCCACGCCTCCTCGCCCACCCCTTCGTTGCCCGAAAGTGGACGGCCTCGGGCTCTGGCCTGGAAGAGAGCCCGGGGCCGCCGCCCGGCCCGCGCGGCCTCACCTGCCGCTCCCTGGAAATCTCGACGCTGCCCCACCCCCACCCTGGGGCGTCCTCGAAGTCGAGGCCCCTGAACCCACACAACAATGGCGCAGCCGGAAACTGCCCCCTCGACTTCCTCACGCCGGGCTGGAGGCTAGGGCCGGCCTGTGGGCGGGACGTGAAGACCGCGGCTTCCGCCTTCCTGCTTCCGGCCTGGCGGTGAGTTGGGAGTGGGTCTGAGTCCCTGGCGCGACGTACGGGAGGCTAGCGGCAGCAGCCGGGGTGGTTTTGTCCCTGTGCCTAGACCAGGCGGCCGCGGCGCAAGGTGTGGCGGTGCCGACCCCATTTTCCCTGGAAACTTTGGCTCTGCGGAGGGGCCCGCGCTTGCCAAGGCCGAGGGGCAGGGCGAACACGGTTCCCGTGGGCCAGCGGCCGTGTTGGGGTAAGGAAGGAAGAGTGAGCAAGGGGGGAAAACATAAAGAAGAGGAAGACAAAGGAGAAAGTGCCGATGGCCGTAAAGTGCCAGCAGTTGCAGCTTCAGGCACCACGGAGGTCTGGTCGGGAGATCGAGTCCGGTCGACCCCCTTTGGGCGGAGGATTAGTATTTATAACTGGAACCGTGGCAGGCGTGGACCTTTGGGTCCGAAGTTGAGGTGTGGGAAGTTGCGTGGCCCGTGGCCGATAAATCTTTGTGTTAATGGCTAAAACTTTGCCATAAATCAGGTTCTTGATTCCCTCTCTACTGCAAAGTTCTTTTGCTTTTCTCTGAAACTTGCATAGTTTATTCATTACTGAGGTGGAGATGCTGAAGAGCGATCAGTCTCAGTAGAACCTAGTTCTGACTGTGTGGGCTAGGGCGTATGAAGATGGGGACTAGGATATTTAACGTTTTAGGCATTTTCATGTGTCTTCAGTTGCAAGTAGAGACATGACTTTAGTTGATAATATGAAGAAGCCGTAGAAAGACATCAAAACAGTGGCAGTTTTCTTGAAGTGTTGGGATTGGAAATGATTGTTTTAGCCAAAAACATTGTTGTCTCCTGATTTTTTTTTTTATATAAAGGACACGAATTGTATAATAGGTAAAATTTGTAAAGAGCAAGGCCAGGTGTTCGATTTTGTAAGAATGTACCTAATTTAATGAATGAATAGCAACATTTTATAAAAAGTTCAAGATTAGGAATGGACATGTTGCATAACATCAGTGAGCCAATTGGTCTTTAATTTTGTATTTTTTATTTATTTTTTTAGATACAGAGTTTTGGTGTGTCACCAGCCTGGGGTCCAGTGGCCCAGATCATAGTTCATTGTAGCCTCAAACTCCTGGGGTCAAGTGATCCTTCTCAGCCTCCCCAGTAGCTACGACTACAGGCATGCTCCATCCAGCATGCTTGGCTAATGAAAAAAAATTTTTGTAGAGATATTGAGGGGCAGTGGGTCTCACTATGTTGCCCAGGCTGGTCTGGAACTCCTGGGCTCAAACGATCCACTCGCCTTGGCCTCCCAAAGTGCTAGGATTACAAGCATGAGCCACCATGCCCGGCCTCCAACTTGTCTTTTATATGCCAACAAATTTAAAAATAATTTTATTATTGAAATAAATTAGTAAAATACTTGATTTCCAGTAATTAGGATTTTCTTACAGAAGATCAACAATTATGTTAAACTTAAATTAAGAAGAAATAGATATAAATGCCTATAATTGACAGGTTAATTTTACATGGCATATAGGATGCATATATACAATATAGAGATTTTTCAATTAAAGTTTTAGGATATTATCCTGTAAGTTGTGACTAAAGTTTTTTTTCTTTTATCCTTTCCAACTCACCCACAGTATAGAATTTAAACCTTTTCTCAGAAGTGCATGGTAGAACTCAAGACGACAGACAATCAAGGGTGATCTAGAATTGTGATTGACTCATTAATAATACCAGGACAAAGTTAAGAGATCACAACTCAAACGTAAGGTAAATGATAAATGATTTTTTTAATTGCAGCTGAAATTGTAAGTAGCTGTATGTACACTGATTCCCTATCCAAGTATTCTAATATTTTACTTTGAGTAGAGGTTGACACAACCTGAAAGGTAGAAAATCCTCTGGGGCAAAATAGAAAATGTCACTCAAGTACACACCATCATTTGCTAGATGTCCGGCCTTCCCTTACACTCAGAAAGGAACAAAATGCATGGCACCTGTTATGACTACTTTTCTTATTTATTAAATTATGTTTATTCCAACAGCAGTCATCAAAGTTGAAAGAGCATAAAACAGCACATTACTTTTTTTTAAACACCAAATTTGATGATTTGTACTTTTGTTAATTAGTACTTAGTAGTACTAAGGATATGTGAAAAAATGACAAACAAGATTCAGCTATTTCCTGAATGAGTGTGGAAAATTCAAGATTCTTATAAAAGTCTGCTGCTGAAGTTTGTTGAATATTCATAGGATGCATGTGAGAATGTATAGTCCTTGTGACAGAGTCATGTGGTTTTTACTTTGATCTTCTATAACTTTATCTCTTTTAAGTGTCATTACTCTGGTTGTCTTAGTTGAATTATTTTTTCCTAACTGGAGATATTAGTACTTATTAAAATAATACTAATTAGTACTTTTTAACAAAACAAGCAAATGAATGATAATGGAATTCTGAATTAACTGGGTGTATGATGAAACTTTTTCAAAATTTGATTAACCACATAGTCTTTCTCCTGTTTATTTCTTCTGTACTTCTCCCCTAGTTTTCCTAAGACTGCTACGAAGATGTTTGATATTAAGGCTTGGGCTGAGTATGTTGTGGAGTGGGCTGCAAAGGACCCATATGGCTTCCTTACAACAGTTATTTTGGCCCTAACTCCACTGTTCCTAGCAAGTGCTGTACTGTCTTGGAAGTTGGCCAAGATGATTGAGGCCAGGGAGAAGGAGCAAAAGAAGAAACAAAAACGTCAAGAAAATATTGCAAAAGCTAAACGACTAAAAAAGGATTGAAGGAATAAACAGGCTCTCCAACCAGAGGAAAATCATTTGAAAAATTATGTAGCTTTGAAAGGACTCACTAAGGTTTCTTTTTTGTATTTCTTGACAGTATTATTTAGTAAAGGAAATTTGACCAAATGGAAGAATCATGCTAATTCTGACCTCAATACTGTAGTTACTTTTAAGCTTGGGTATAGAAATTTTTGTTGGTATCTATTGACAGTTATTATAAATTGGCTTTTACTATGGTACAAATTCTTTATAACTGACTTAGTCATTTGCCATTTGGCAGTTTACATGCTGAAATGAAAACATCCTGTGGAGGAAAATGACTTTAGATTATGAACTTTTCAAATAAGCTATTTAAAATGGGGTCCTTTACTGGACAAAGGAAATTAAGAATGTAAAAGCCAGAAATGAACTCGCTGAGGTGAAAAGTATGGTTTGGCTTAAAAGAGATACAGTATATTAATCACATCTTTTATCATTATTGCTTATTTCTTAGAATCATTTTTGGCTTTCTCAAAGCAAAATAATATTTAATCAATGAGTATTTCTATTTTCTGCATTTTTCTGATATTAGCTGTTGAGACAACTGGTTAATTAGCAAGACATTCTGCATTTTTTAAATCTAATTTTATAAAGAATTCTCTTATCTTGACTATGTATAATACCACCTACTGGATATAACAGTTTTTGTACTTAGTGAGCACAGCCATTTTCTTATAGATGACTTGAGAAAAGTAATACTATGATTTATAGCTTGCAATAAAAATGCCAAACACTGTAGTACCTTGGAACCAGTTTGTTCTTGTGTTAAGTAGAACTGTGTAATACTTAAAATGTCTACAATTTGCTTATTATATATACACTTTTGTTTTTTATTCCATTCTTTGTTTTAACTTATATGGTAGTGATGTTCAATATTTTTTGGTCAAACAGGTTCAAAGGGAAAATTAAAATTTCACATTTCTTTTGAAGAACTCTTAAAGAGTAACAGTAAGGAAAGGCTTAAAATTTGGAAACATTTTGTTGGGCATAGTAATTTGGTGAAGAGGATAAAATTATGTCAATGAGAATGTGCTATGTTTCTGTCAAGTAATATAACTGGAACTTTTCACTATTAAACATGACGTTTATAAATGCATGATCCAATAATTTTATTCACTCAGTATTTAATAGCTTAATGTTTTCTGCACTTCTGATAATGAATATTAAATTATAAAAATTGTCCAACAGCTCTAATTTAAAAATGAAACTAGATATTGAAATAAATTTCATACTTTTTTGTAAAGAGGTCTTGAGTTTTTGGTTTTCTTTTTGGAGAGGGTAACAATTTAAGTTAGATATGTTAGGCAAGTTAGCATTTCAGTTATAGCTAAGCATACTTGTAAAAGTTTAGGATAGTGTTTCTCAAATTTGAGAACCTAAGGACCCCTGAGAATAAAACACAATGCTATTATTTTATTTGTCAGTTCCTACTTGGTGCCAGTGTGAGCAACATGTTGCAACTGTAGGCACTGAAATAATTCGGTGCTTAGTTATGAGTTGGTTATTCAGGTGACTTAGGATATAACTGTTTATATTATCCTTGAAATTAAAACTTAAAAAAAAAATGCTTGTATAGAACTACTAGCCCCAATGAGTCCTAGAGCCCAGTTTAAGAAAAACTAGGTTAAGGTGTATCTAAAATATGTTTGGTTGGTTTTCTGCAATCAAGCTGTTAATAGATAGAATTTATATATAAATATGTTTTACTTATGGTCACATTTTAGAATAAAAGTATTGAAGCAAAGGATATAGTCATAATTCTCAGTTATGTATTAAAGCTATGGTTTCATTGATTCTCTTGCAGCAATTTAAAGGTATTTAACTAAAAGTCTGTTTTCTATAATTTCTGTTAAAATCTTAACACCTGCCAATTTTGTATTTGACATATGCTATTTTTGATTTCTTCAGTTTTTCCCAACATTTATAGAGCCTTTTTATACATGTGAGATCGAAGTTTTATTATATTTGTGTCTGTGTATGTGTGTGTGTGTGGGGGGGGCAAAAGGAGTATAAAATAAAGAATATTGTGAGAGTTTGGAAATCTTCAGAAAAATCCATCTTCTCTCAGTGTAACAAATAGTACTATTGTTCAAAGAATCCCATTTACTTTTAGACTATTTCTTTAAAAATCGCCTATTATGTTGTTTCTTGTGTTCTAAGAACTAAATACAATCAATTACCTTTTCATAGTTGGCTTTGGGGGAAAAAGAACCTGTCCTCAGGCTGCTTATAATAAACATTTTATCAAAAATAAATAAATAGAGGTTTATGTGTCAGAATTTGAGCCCTTGTGTCCATGTGATAAACTTCAGCATGGTATGACTATATCAGATGTATAAGGAAATTTTTTACTTTTATTTCTTTATAATAAACTTGAAATAAGCTTGGAAAGTTGTAAGCTGGAAACCTAATGTTGAAATAGATTAGAATTAACAGCACCTCACTCCTTCTTTCTTTTATTACACAAGGCAAGGGACACTTTACATTTTATATGGTTCTAAGTTGGAGGAAATTTGATCCTGTGTAGGAATGATTGCTTTTATGTTGGCAACTGGTTATATTGTGTTATTAAGTATCAAACATCTGATTTTCTTAAGTACTAAGTTTGACAGTTGATACTGCTGACATTTCACTTTAACACTTCTTGTTTTATTTTTATTGTGAAAGGTACATCCTCATTCTTTCAAACACAGTTTAGCTTGTGATTATCTTTCAATTTTTTTAGAGCAATTTTTGTGAAACCATGGATAAGTCAAAAATTCATGTTATTTTTGAATATGAGGTCCATCATGAAACCAATGAATGTAGTGCAGACAGCTTGAAATTATCAATGAAGCGTTTGGGAAGGAGCAGCTAATGAACACATAGTCCATCAATGGTTTGAGAAGTTCTGTCCATTCTGATGATTTTAATCTTGAAAATGAGCTGCATGGGCAACCTAAGACCAAGGTGCATAATGATGAGCTGAAAGCTGTAGTGGAACTGAATCCATCTCAACCAATGCTTGAATTAGCAGCAAGGTTTGACATTACTATTACAACAACATTGGACAAATTGGCAAGGTAAAGAAGCTGGATAGATGGGTATTGCATGAATTAAATGAGTGTCAGCAGAGAAATCATTTCAAAGCTTGCCTTTCTTTGCTGTCATGACGTAAAGACAAACCATTTCTATACCGTATTGTTACATGTGATGAAAAATGGATTCCTTTTTGATAATCACAAGCGTTTGGCACAATGGTTGGATGAAGATGAAGTGCCAAAACACAGTCCAAAACTGAATATTCATCCAAAAAAGCTAATTGTGTCTGTTTGGTGGTCCAGCACTGGTATTATCCACTACAACTCTGTGAAACCTGGTCAGTCAATTACAGTGGATGTCCGCTGCAACCCGTTGGATGAAATGATGAGGATGCCTGTGATTCAGCAGCTGAAACTGGTCAGTAGAGACAGGCCAATCCTCTTGCAAAGACAATGCTCAACCACATGTAGCACAAACGACACAGCTCAAACTACAGAGGCTGGATTAGAAACTCTGTCATCTACCATATATTCACCAGACCTTGCACCAACTTACTACCACTCCTTCCAGGCTTTGGATCACTTCTTGTAAGGAAGAATATTCACTTCTGAACAAGCTGTGGAAAAAAACTTTTCTGATTTAATCGTCACTCATTCTGTAGGCTTCTTTACTGCTGGCATGAACAAGCTAACAAGATGGCACAACTGTGTTGACAGTTTAGGTGCATACTTTCATTAATTGTATGTACTGCTTCTTATTTGAGCTATGATAAACTAAACTTTTGATTTGAAATTGGACATTTCATATTTAATGACCTAACAATATCACTGATTTACTTCATATCTGGAATAAATATTCAAGGACAAATTCTGCATTTCTCAAACGTATTAAAAAGGGATTCCATGGTCAAATACCAAAAGTTTGGGGAACAAGTACAACTTGGACAAATTTCTGCATGATTTCTTGGAGTCTTTTAATTTAACTACCATGGATTCTCCTTCACACCTTCCTCCCCACTAACGCCCAGAGAACATAAGCACGGTTTGATAAAGCCTAGTTTAAATAAGCTCAGGTTACATTTTAAATAGTGTAGTTAATGAGCTAGCATAAAAAAAAAAAAAAATCAACATAATGGTATTGATTCAAAGTTAAATAAATGACAGCTAGAAAGCTTTATAAAAGTGAGAATGGAAAAAGATTATTTCTTCCAGTTTTTTTGGTTTTTAACTTCAGATGTATAAGGTACAACTAATAGGTTAGATTTATATATATATATTGTTTTTTTGGTTTTTTTTTTTTTTTTTGAGACAGTCTCGCTTTGTTGCCCAGGCTAGAGTAAGTGCCATGGCATCAGCCTAGCTCACAGCAACCTCAAACTCCTGGGCTCAAGCAATCCTACTGCCTCAGCCTCCCGAGTAGCTGGGACTACAGGCATGTGCCACCATGCCCAGCTAATTTTTTTCTATATATATTAGTTGGCCAATTAATTTCTATTTATAGTAGAGACAGGGTCTCGCTCAGGCTGGTTTCGAACCCCTGACCTCGAGCAATCTGCCTGCCTTGGCATCCCAGGGTGCTAGGATTACAGGCGTGAGCCACCGCGCCCAGCCAGATTTATATTATTAAACCCAATAGCCAACAGCATTTTCTGCACTTCAGCAGTTTGTGTAATGTTAAGCCATTACTGTGAAAACCAAAAATACACTATGCATGTACAGCAGAGGCACAGAAAGGAAGGAATTACTTCTAAGAAAGTGTTTAAAGCATATATAATATTCTTTAATTTTGTTAACTTAAACATTTTTACTTTTGAAATTAAGTATTTTTGGCATAGGTTTAAAGTCTGTCTTGATGAAGAAAGACACTTTTCATAATAAAGAACTTGCAAATGTATAAAGTATAAATAATATGAAAAATATGGTAGATAAGCTAATATTTTTATTTAATATTTTAATTGTGCTTATATTATGTGCCTGGCCTTAAAGCCAAGTATTTTTTAAAAGGTTGTTTGAAAGGCAAATCCTAATTAGGCTAAGATTATAGGTCAATTTTTATGTAGGATAATTTAACTCTGTTCCAACAACTAACAGTGCAATCAGTCATCCTAAACATGTTAGCCTAGAGGAAACAAGAGTGGATGGATTATTACAAACTTCATTCCCACATCTCAAAAATCACCTTAAAAGTACATGCTCTACTACTAATGGTGGGCCAATATCATCATCTTAAACATTTTCCTACAAGGATTCTTAGCTAAGATTTTTTTGCTGCTTGTGTGAAACACATATTTCAAAATGAAAACCATAAAAATTAAAATTTAGGTAAATTTCTGCCATATTTCAAGATATTTATAAACAATATATGGCAAACATTTGCAAAAGATGTATATAGAATGCAATTAATAAGCTAACAGGAATTTGGCAGTAGAAAAACTAGCATGTTAAAACAATTTTTCCTTTAATCTAGAACTTAAGAACATCTTAATCTTAATTCACAATCCAGTTATACTATAAATTATATCCCCTTTTATATTACCCAGTGGATAGTTCCTTTTTTGCCTTTATGGTAAATGTAATATTACTTTGTAACAATGTAGTAAGGCAAAATATTTAACTTGATATTAGCAGGGCTGCTAGAATGTTGGTATTATCACCTAGCGGCTTCTTGTCATTCAGTAAGTATGTTGTGGGGATTTTGTCATTTGATTACTTGTTTTAGTCTAAATGCTTTATAAAGTAGTTGTATTTTTCTGCAGCATATTTCTTAGTTAAAATTTTTACCTGCTACTAAGTAAAAATGTTAACCTTTGTATTTTCAGGAATTCATTGTTAACACTTAACCAAGGATTTCTGTACATTATTCAGAGCATAAAAATTTGGGTCATTGAGTCAATAAATATTTATTGAAAACCTATTACATGCCAAACACTGTGCGAAAGGCTCTATAACAACAAAAACTTGGTTGTGCACTCCAGATAATGCATGATCCTTTAAAAATACTTTTGTATGTAATCAGAGTTTAAACATGTACATTGTCATCTATCTACATATTTCTTCAGTATACAAACCATTGGACTCCCAACTCTCCATGGAACTGATTTCACCTTTTTGAAAGCCTCATTTATTTTCTATTTTTTTCAAAGTAATTTTCGATCTCCTGGAACTCCAGTTATTGCAACTTTTCTTTAATGTCCTTTCAGACTTTTGTGATAGATTACCTACTTCTATTGGTCCTAATTCCTCTCTTCAGACTCCAATCACAATCCCACCATAAGCTAGCTTTTGTCTCACATTCTAATCAGGTCTTTATGGTTTATTTTTCATTTATCAACTAAATTTTCATTGCCTCCACATGTTTTATCCAAATTCATGTTTTTGATTAATACTTTAGTATCTTATAGGCTACCTCTCCAGAAATAATAAATCTTTTCATTCTTTTTCTAATTTAGCACTTGAGAGAACTCACTATTTACTCTTATTTCTACCAAATTATACCTGTGGGTGCTTCCTACATGATAAGGATCTGAAATGTACTCACTCACAGCTATATGACACTTCTTAAGGGAGTAACCCAAGGAAGGAAAAAGAAATCTAAGCAAATTCATAAACAGTGATGACTAAATCAAATGCAGGATTTAAGTATAAAAGAGTTTAGGCTTCTACAGATCATAATCTCACATTTTTTATGCATACTAAAAATGAACTCTTAAGCTTAATGGAATAGAGAAATATTATACATTTGGAAAATACAAAATAATTAACTTTTTACTACTTTTATTTGTTAAAGTAGTCACATTCATATAAATGAAAAGATTTTACCATAATGCATTCACTGATTGTGGCTCTTGCCATCTTGTGGCATCCAGGATCCTGGCTGAAAGGTTTTACCAGTGCTAGTGGGAGCCACCGAGGGTTCTTCCTTTCCGAAGTAGGGAGCAGAGGCATGCCCTTTGATCTGAGTTTGAACTGGTGGAGCCAAGAGTTCCTCGTTGGTCTCTTTACTAAGGAGTTTTTCATTTTCATAAAAATGTTTGCTTTTTATTTTCATTTCTTCTCTATATTTTTCATTCTTTAGTATTTCCTGCATGTATATATAAATAGCAGATATTATTAAAATTCTAGTTAAAAAAATCAAAATACAGAGTTTTTATGAATATAAAATTAAAACATTATATACAGAGATATACACATATAAATACATATATACATGCTTGCTTTGCACTTAATATATAGATATGTGTAGGATAAGTTTGAAAAATCTGTATGATGATTTATATACCAGTACTATATGAATTAAACAGCTCTGTCCTGATTTCATGTCTCAATATTTTGAAAGACATGAAGCACCACAAAATAGTAATGTTTACTACCCCAAAAGTAAAACAAACTATTTAATGTGAAATGTTACACAAGAGCTTAAGAGTCACTCTACCAAAGATTTTCTAAGCTTAACACCTATTTTCTGCCTTAAAACTCATCATCAGTGACTGTACTTTTCCACTGAAGAGGAGGAGGTGGTACTCTTACCATTTTTTTGGGGGGAGGTGGGCTGAGGGAATTAAAATGTGAACGCTAAGGCCATCATCTATAGTGCTAGAATCAAGCCCCATCTATTTCCCTATCTCCTATAGAATGGTATGGCAGGGAAAAGGAGGACAGGGCAAGAATCAGAGTTCAGCATGCCCTAGACACCAGTTCCAGAGAGGCACTTTGCTATTGGAAATACTTTCTGAAATCAGTGCAAACAATTTGTGCAATGTAGTTCTTTAGATTTCTATCAAGGAGGATCTATACCAAAAATTACAATGAATCTGTTTTATTACTATACTTCATTGAATTTAAGAAGCATCATTATTATGTAGCAATATAAAAGAAAGGCAAACTCCTTCACAAACATCCTGATTTCAGAGATGTCAAAATTTGAAAAGATGTGCATCTTAAAAAACATGAAATATAGTAATTACATCTTTTATCTTTATTGATTCTTGCTTCCTCTTTTCTTCTGTCTTAACAATGATTACTTCTAAATGGGTGAATTTTTTAAATGTTCTTTCTGCTTATCTGTATTATTTTTCTTTAAGAACACAGATGTCCCTTGTAATATGAAATTAAAATGTTAATGTAACTAATATCTGTCAACATTGACAAATAAAGTTCAAGTTATTTTTAAATTTCAACACTTTAAAAAATGACATTTGAAGGGCAACATCTAGGCATCTAAATGTATGATATAACCTTTCGGTTCCTAAAGTGAATTACAAGTAATATTGTATAGTCCTTTAAAAAGGCAAGCACCGATGTAACATTTAAAATAATAGTTTGTATTTAAAGGAGAAAAAAGTTTTTGTGGTTTATAGTGTTATACTTTTAGTTTTAGATGTGAAGAAAGGCCCATCTAATGAAACTTCCCCCTCAAAGCAAATATATGTGGGAAAGAACAATATCTATAAATATTCTTGTAATTTTCATAACACAGAACAATTCCCCATGAGTAGTTTAATAACCATGGTGACTATGAGTTCTCGGGCAGTTGCTACAAATGAGAGTGAGAGTAGAGGAATCAGGTTTTGCCTTTTCTACATCCTATATATAGAATTCTTAGGTGAGTTGATCATACATCAGAGGAAATCTCTCAGTATCATACTGGAAATAATGGATGTAGACAAAAATATGAAAGCATATCTCCATGCTCTCTTCAAGTTCTGTGTCTTCATGGAAGCTTGTTCTTTGGAGGAGAATGAAAGGTTCAGGACCAGGTTAAACCTGCACTAGTAACCAACCTTAAGTAGCAAGAGTATCCTCAGTAGTTAGTATGAAGCTTGGTTGGTTTTGGTATAAAAGGATCAGTCACATCACCTGAAGCTGTGCCCATATCTAATTTACCTCACCTCTACTATTGCAGTCTTATAGCTGGTATATGCATATGCCTTCTTATTAAAAGGAAATGGGAAAATCTCTTCTGTTTTCTTTATTCCTTCCTTCACATAATTTCTCTTTATGCATCGTTACTCTTCCAAGTTAGTCTCTTTCTTTCTTTTTTTTTTTTTGAGACAGAGTCTCACTTTGTTGCCCAGGCTAGAGTGAGTGCCATGGCGTCAGCCTAGCTCACAGCAACCTCAAACTCCTGGGCTCAAGCGATCCTCCTGCCTCAGCCTTCCGAGTAGCTGGGACTACAGGCATGCGCCACCATGCCCGGCTAATTTTTTCTATATATATTAGTTGGCCAATTAATTTCTTTCCATTTATAGTAGAGACGGGGTCTTGCTCTTGCTCAGGCTGGTTTCGAACTCCTGACCTCGAGCAATCCGCCCGCCTCGGCCTCCCAGAGAGCTAGGATTACAGGCGTGAGCCACCTCACCCGGCCTCTTTCTTATAACAGCTATGTAGGCAAATTTTTCCTAGAAAAAAGTTTCTTTTTTTTTTTTTTAGCATTGCTACCTGGCAGACCCCTGCAAACAGCTTCCAGGAAAACTAAACGGAACATAAATCACTTATGAAAGGAAATGTAGTTTTGTAAATATTTGGAATTGACAAAATGAAAATAGTTAGGTAGAGAATATAGGAATTGTAGACTTTAAAGACAAATAGAAATCATCTCTCAAGAAATTCTATTTTGGAGAGGAAGCTATATAAAGCAAGTATTTTTCCTTACCATTCCTTGGAACAATATCACCTTAAATCTCTATATGTTTACCAATTAACAGTATGTTCCACTGTTTGTGTAAGGTTAAACCTAGACCATGGGGTCTTTCCTCACATAAATATTTGTATTTTTTTTTAATTATCATTGTACCTATTGCTTTTCTTCCCATCAATAAATATTTTTCTTCAACATTTAAAAAAAGATGACTGTATGGTATTTTATCACTTGTATTGTACCATGATTTACTTAACTACCCCTACTGTTGCTTCTGTATGAGACCAAGAAGGCCACTGAACTTCTTTTAATCTCAGTTTCTTTATATGAAAGGGGGGATAAAGTTAACTCATAACAGTATTATGTTTCCTCACATAGCTATATGTACTACATGGTGATTATGCTTTTTATAAAACAATGATGCCAAATGGAATCTTCTTTCATTTTATTCCTTTTAAGCAATCTCTAGAGTTCTCTTAAAGTTTGACAGGTCTATGTACAATACAGATTTTTCCACATTTTAATGCATACCAAACATTACTATTGATTTAAAAGTGTGAATCTTGTTTATACATGATGGTGTATGTATAAATATTTGCATCTCAAATACTCATATACTCATATGTTTACCCTTCACACTATTAGGTCTTCTGACAGTTTCTCAATAGTGGTTATGAACATGGGCTCCGATGCCACAATACCTGCATACAAATCCCAGTTTTGCTATTTACTATATGTGTGACCCTGTGAATATTATTTAAGCTCCTTGCATCTCAGTCTCTTCATGTGTGAAATACAGATAACAATACTGTCTTATTCAATGGACTGTTGTAAGGATTGGGAAAGAACTGGTTGCTAGGCAATGATAATACAACAGAGGAAGGTATAGGTAGATTTAAAAATACTGATTGTTTATTCTATCCCATTAAAAACACATACCAAATGTCTACCCATCCCTCTGAGATGGGTAGAGGGGTTACTAAGATGTAATCTACCAGTTTCAGGCTAAGATAGAGGAACTGGTACCAGACTAGTCCTCCTGCCATAAAACAACTAGAAAACAGGACAAAAATATATTAAACTTTTCAGATACTGGACAACAGGCAGTGTAGTACTATGATCCTTGAGAAGAAGAGAAACAAATGAGACAAACCCTGTATCACCTCAGATTTATTCTTGGACACACATTATAGGCTGCTGCATGGAATAGAGGTACTCCAGCAGGGTATGGCAGTCTTACTAAGCTGAAGAGTTAGAGATAGTTCTTTAGGGAGGCTGAGGAATCTGGGACACATTGAGCAGACTACCAGAATACACAGAGAAAGAGAAATTTGCATAGAAATCTGCATAAAGGTCCACGTGAGTGTTCAACTGAATATTAAGTTGTACATGTGTAGGGTATGACTCCACAAAGCCAAGAAGGACAACTTATCATTAAAGAATTGGGGAGGTTGGGGGGCTGTAGGCTGAACAACTGCTGGAACTTGCACTGGACTAGGAAACATTTATTTTCGGCCAGAAAGACACTGAACACTGGGACATTCAGTGTAAAGACTCTAGAAGAGTCACTCTTTAGGCATAAATCTAAACTGGCATGTGAATACAGTTTATTCCAGACCTGTGCTGTACAACACAGTAGCCAATAGACCACATTACTTAAATTTAAATAAGTTAAAAATTTAGTTTCTTAACTTCACTAGCCATTTTTCAATTATTTAACAGCCAAGTATTTAGTGGCCACAATAGTGGAAAGTGTAGATATAAAACATTTCCATCGGCTGGACATGGTGGCTCACAGCTATAATCCTAGCAGCTACTCTGGGAGGCCGAGGTGGGTGGATTGCTTGAGGTCAGGAGTTTGAGACCAGCCTGAGCAAGAGCAAGACCCTCTTTCTACAAAACATAGAAAAATTAGCCAGACACGGTGGTAGGTACCTACAGTCCTAGCTACGCAGGAGGCTGACATAGGAGGATTGCTTGAGCCCAGAAGTTGGTGCTTGCAGTGACCTATGATGACACCATTGTACTCTAGCCTAAGTGACAGAGCAAGACTCTGTCTCAACAACAACAACAACAACAACAACAACAAAACCATTTCCATCATTGTAGGAATTCCAATTGGACTGCACTACTCTAGATATACTCTAACAAAACTTAAGCCTCCAAAAGTTTGGGCTGATTCATATATCAATTAATGGTCATCCAGAAAAAACTCAACATTTTCTAAAGGAAGACAATAAAAGCCAGACAGTACACAACATAATACTTCAATATTCATCATGTAATCAAGAGAAGGGAAGAGGAAAGTGCAATTCAGAACCAGTCAACAAAAGCAGACCCAGACATGATAGAAATCGTGAAATTAACAGATAAGGACTTCTATCACAGCTACTATAAGAATGTCCAAAGATTTAAAGACAAAATGAACATAAAGAAATAAAACT